TAGTAATACACACACACACACACACACACACACATATATATACACTCTGAATTTTTTAATAAGATGTACGTTTTTTGTTTTTTGCGTGCGTATCGTAGGTAAATCCATTTGGGAGAAGAAAAGCCTCTTTGCATATATGCTTGCTTCTTTATAATTCTTTCAGGTTCAAACCAGGTGCCGGGTAGTTGTTACTGGAAGTGGAAATGGAATGAGAGCGAATTTCTTCAATTTACAGAACTTTCTTGAGTATGTTGTAGTGAGTCCCGATAAGAATAAAATAAAATAAACTATAAAAATAGAATATATAAACAAAAATAAAAAGGTTAAAAATTAAAATAAGACTGACTTTTATGACCCTTATCCCCCCCTCTCTCTCTCTCTCTCTCTCTCTGTCTCTAAACGTCTCTGTCTCTACTTCTCTCAACTAATGAGAAGGCAACCCTCATTTAAAAAGAAAAAGAAGAAAAGACTGAATCCGGCCGAAAAACACCGGAAGTTTGCAAGATCAGAACTTACTTATTTGTGACTTTAAAATACCAACAATTATAAAAATGAAAAAAGAAAGGAACGCCGGAAAATAAAATAATTTTGGCCAATCAAAAAAATTATCACAAGGAGACGTTTGATGTTAGCCGAAACTAATGTCCGCGCCAAATTCTCAATCCTGGTCAAACGGATATAAAAATGACACCTCTTGGCTAGAAGCAGATGGGACGAGGAGAGAAAATGATTATCCTACCACAAATCCACACTGGTGAACTTCCAACGTGAACATACTACAATGGCATGTTTTTTCCTTTCATCTCAAGTTCCTCCCTCTTTATCACCCAGGTATTTCGGGTGCTTCCCACTGTACCGGGGGGGGGGTATGAGCGTGTGGGGTAAAGACGGAAATAAACACTAAGACAGTCAAACACCAAATGACACAAAATGGTTTCTGAGTTGGAAAATTGAGCATTCTTCCGGTAAATAAATTAATGCTTTGAAAATAAATATTTAACTTTTTTCAAACAACATGTTGCGTTCCTGCCAACAATAAAAAATACTTCATTATCACTTTTCAAGATATTTAAGTAAAGTTTCTAGATGAATAAACCAGTAAGGAGAGACAGACGGCAACAGTTCATGATGCTCAGCTTAAAAGAAATTCTCTTATCAATTCACCTTCCTTATCAAAGCTACGTGACACTTACACTTTCCCCCATGTTTCTCCCTTGCCTCTTCTTTCTCACCCATATGCACAAACAAATCGCGTTTCTTTTCATCTTAACAAACAACTACAAACAAGGTATGTAAGAACTTTAACACGCATACATGCTAAGAAAAGTTTAGTTGTAAAAAATACAAAAATAAAAATATCTGATATTTTTATATTTAAAAACCTTTTTTGCCTTTTTTTTTGTTGTGGGTTGAGTCAATTATCTACAACAAGTGTATTAGCCTTGTTCAAACCGCTGATCATGCCAGGTTATGCCCTCTCTCCTAGAAACTGTAAGTAAGGTATGCTCAGTATACTTGGAGTTAAAAACACAGGTGAGTTCTGTGGGTGTTGAATCCAATAAGGATTAGCTAGCCACCTTAGTAGACGGGTATACTCAAGTATGTACAGTCAGCTATGCATGTATTATAAGCATAATCCTTTTATTCCACAACTCTTTTAGTTCTCAGGCAAGGTTCTGGTATTTTTAAGAATTTTTAATTTTTGTAGAGAAGATATATAGTAGCAGAAACCAGCCATCTAGTAACAGAAGCAGCAGACTGGTGCCTTTATAAACTTGTGCTTTCCAAAATAAACTCTCTCTTCTTTTGCCCAAAACTGATCCTCAAGAACAGGTTATGTAAGTAGTACTTTCTTTGTTTTAGAATGGTCGGTTCCCTGTACCACTCCAAAAGGAGTCAGACAGGCCAAAAATGGATTACTGCTGCCATATATGAGCAGGAGCTGGACAGTAATCACTTTCTAGTCCAAAAGCATCTCCCCACCCTTGTGGGTGACAAATTATTTTCCACCCTACAACCCCTTTCTCACAGACAAAACATCGCAAATCTTTTGCTGCTCTAGCGCTATTTCCATGGAAAGCACTCAGACAAACTACATTCCTTAGTTCTGCCAGTTCTAACCTTCATGGCTAAGACCAGCCATGCCACACCCATTTTAGTGAACCACCCTAATTTCCTTCATATTCCATTGGTGAGATTTAAGTTCCACTTGACCAGCTTCTTCCTATGAACTGCTGCTTTGTGGAACCGACTCCCAAGAATATGTTTCACTGATCACTGCAATCTTAACCTGTTCAAATCTAAGTTTAACTGTTAGCTTCCCTACATATCTCCATAAAATGTGTCCCTTACTCTATAACCATCTGCCTTGTAAGAGGGTAAACACCATTATAAAAAAAAGTAGACACTTGGACTCTGTACTCAGTGAAAGGTGTACCGTTTCTTCAGTTAAACTATTCTTCTGTTTCATAGGAGGAACTGTTTTATAAAATTTCATCTTATCTTATATTTTATTCTGTATTGTTTTTGTCGAAAACCTCTGGGGTGAACTTGGGAAACCTAATTTCCTGAAACTACCATTGATACTAGAAAGATCTATGACAGTAGATTTGAGAGATCTAATTTCTGGAAACTACCATCAATATTAGAAAGCTCTATAACAGTGGATTTGAGAAAAGTAATTTCTGGAAACTACTATCATTACTAGAAAGATCTATAACAGTTAGTGGATTTGAGAAAACTAATTTCTGGAAACTACCATCAATATTAGAAAGATCTATAACTGTTAGAGGACTAGAGAGATCAGATTTTCTAGAGAGAAAGGAAAGAAAAAATAAGAGAGAAAAACTAGAGAGAAAGGAGAGAAAAAACAAGAGAGAAAGGAAAGAAAAAATAAGAGAGAAAGGAAAGAAAAAATAAGAGAGAAAAACTAGAGAGAAAGGAAAGAAAAAATAAGAGAGAAAAACTTGAGAAAAAGGAGAGAAAAAACAAGAGAGAAAAAACTAGAGAAAAGGAAAGAAAAAACAAGAGAGAAAAACTAGAGAGAAAGGAAAGAAAAAATAAGAGAGAAAAACTAGAGAGAAAGGAAAGAAAAAATAAGAGAGAAAAACTAGAGAGAAAGGAGAGAAAAAACAAGAGAGAAAAACTAGAGAGAAAGGAAAGAAAAAATAAGAGAGAAAAACTAGAGAGAAAGGAGAGAAAAAATAAGAGAGAAAAACTAGAGAGAAAGGAAAGAAAAAACAAGAGAGAAAAACTAGAGAGAAAGGAAAGAAAAAATAAGAGAGAAAAACTAGAGAGAAAGGAGAGAAAAAACAAGAGAGAAAAAATAAGAGAGAAAATAAAGAAAAAATAAGAGAGAAAGGAAAGAAAAAATAAGAGAGAAAAACTAGAGAGAAAGCAAAGAAAAAACAAGAGAGAAAAACTAGAGAGAAAGGAGAGAAAAAATAAGAGAGAAAAACTAGAGAGAAAGGAAGGAAAAAATAAGAGAGAAAAGAGAGAAAAAACAAGAGAGAAAAACTAGAGAGAAAGGAAAGAAAAAATAAGAGAGAAAAACTAGAGAGAAAGGAAGGAAAAAATAAGAGAGAAAAACTTGAGAGAAAGGAGAGAAAAAATAAGAGAGAAAAACTAGAGAGAAAGGAGAGAAAAAACAAGAGAGAAAAACTAGAGAGAAAGGAGAGAAAAAATAAGAGAGAAAAACTTGAGAGAAAGGAGAGAAAAAATAAGAGAGAAAAACTAGAGAGAAAGGAGAGAAAAAACAAGAGAGAAAAACTAGAGAGAAAGGAGAGAAAAAACAAGAGAGAAAAACTAGAGAGAAAGGAAAGAAAAAAAAAAGAAAAAAAAAAATAGAGAGAAAGGAGAGAAAAAATAAGAGAGAAAAAACTAGAGAGAAAAAACTAGGAAGGAAAAATAAGAGAAAAAAAACTAGAGAAAAGGAGAGAAAAAAAAAGAGAAAAAACTAGAGAGAAAAGAAAGAGAAAAATAAGAGAGAAAAAAAAGAGAGAAAAGGAAAAAAATAAGAAAAAATAAGAGAGAAAGGAAAGAAAAACAAGAGAGAAAAACTAGAGAGAAAAGGAAAGAAAAAAAACTAAGAGAAAGGAAAAAAAACTAGAGAAAAACTAAAGAAAAAAAGAAAGAGAAAAAGAGAAAGAAAGAAAAACTAGAAGAGAAAAAACTAGAGAGAAAGGAAAGAAAAAATAAGAGAAAAATAAGAAAAAAAACTAGAGAAAGGAAGGAAAAAATAAGAGAGAAAAACTTGAGAGAAAGGAGAGAAAAAACAAGAGAGAAAAACTAGAGGGAAAGGAAAGAAAAAATAAGAGAGAAAAACTTGAGAGAAAGGAGAGAAAAAATAAGAGAGAAAAACTAGAGAGAAAGGGGAGAAAAAATAAGAGAGAAAAACTAGAGAGAAAGGAAAGAAAAAATAACAGAGAAAAACTAGAGAGAAAGGAAGGAAAAAATAAGAGAGAAAAACTTGAGAGAAAGGAGAGAAAAAATAAGAGAGAAAAACTTGAGAGAAAGGAGAGAAAAAATAAGAGAGAAAAACTAGAGAGAAAAGAAAGAAAAAACAAGAGAGAAAAACTAGAGAGAAAGGAGAGAAAAAACAAGAGAGAAAAACTAGAGAGAAAGGAAAGAAAAAATAAGAGAGAAAAACTAGAGAGAAAGGAGAGAAAAAAAAAAATAAGAGAAAAACTAGAGAGAAAAAAAAAAAAAATAAGAGAGAAAACTAGAGAGAAAGGAAAGAAAAAATAAGAGAGAAAAAAAAATAGAGAGAAAGGAAAGAAAAAAAAAGAGAGAAAAAAAGAAAATAGAGAGAAAGGAAAGAAAAAAAAATAAGAGAGAAAAACTAGAGAAAGAAAAAAAAAAAAAAGAGAGAGAAAAAACAAGAGAGAAAAAGAAAGAAAAATAAGAGAGAAAAACTAGAGAGAAAGGAAAAGAAAAAATAAGAGAGAAAAAAAAAAGGAAAAGGAAAAAACTTGAGAGAAAAAAAAAAAAGAGAGAAAAAACTAGAGAGAAAGGAAAGAAAAAATAAGAGAGAAAAAACAGAGAGAAAGGAAGAAAAAAAAAAGAGAGAAAAAAGAAAGAGAAAGGAGAGAAAAATAAGAGAGAAAAAACAAGAGAGAGAAAGGAAAGAAAAAAAAGGAAGAGAGAAAAACTAGAGAGAAAGGAAGAAAAACAAGAGAGAAAAAAATAGAGAGAAAGGAGAGAGAAAACAAGAGAGAAAAACTAGAGAGAAAAGGAAAGAAAAAAATAAGAGAGAAAAACTAGAGAGAAAGGAAAAGAAAAAAAATAAGAGAGAAAAAACTAGAGAAAAAAAAAAAGGAAAAAAAACAAGAGAGAAAAACTAGAGAGAAAGGAAAAAAAAGAGAGAAAAACTAGAGAGAAAGGAAAAAAAAAAAATAAAAAAAACTAAGAGAAAAAGGAGAGAAAAAAAAAAAGAGAAAAAAAAATAAGAGAGAAAGGAAAGGAAAAAAAAGAGAGAAAAAAACTAGAGAGAAAGGAAAGAAAAAAAGAGAAAAAAACTAGAGAAAGAAAGGAAAAAAAAAGAGAAAAAGAGAAAAACTAGAGAGAAAGGAGAAAAAATCAAGAAAAAAAAATAGAGAAAAGGAAAGAAAAAAAAATAAGAGAGAAAAACTAGAGAGAAAGGAAAGAAAAATAAGAGAGAAAAAACTAGAGAGAAAGGAAAGAAAAAAAGAAAAAGAGAGAAAAACTAGGAAAAGAAAAAAAAAAAAGGGAAGAGAGAAAAACTAGAGAGAAAGGAAAGAAAAAACAAGAGAGAAAAACTAGAGAGAAAGGAAAGAAAAAATAAGAGAGAAAAACTAGAGAGAAAGGAAAGAAAAAATAAGAGAGAAAGGAAAGAAAAAACAAGAGAGAAAAACTAGAGAGAAAGGAAAGAAAAAATAAGAGAGAAAAACTAGAGAGAAAGGAAGGAAAAAATAAGAAAAAAAAAGAGAGAGAAAAAACTTGAGAGAAAGGAAAATAAGAAAAAAAAGAAAGAAAAAACTTGAGAGAAAGGAAAGAAAAAAAAGAGAGAAAAAAAGAGAGAAAGAAAAAAAAAAAAGAGAAAAAAATTAGAGAGAAAGGAAAGAAAAAAAAGAGAGAAAAAAACTAGAGAGAAAGGAAAGAAAAAAAGAAGAGAGAAAAACTAGAGAGAAAGGAGAGAAAAAAACAAGAGAAAAAAAACTAGAGAAAAACTAGGAAAGAAAAAAAATAAGAGAGAAAAACTAGAGAGAAAGGAAAGAAAAAATAAGAGAGAAAAACTAGAGAAAAGAAAAAAAAAATAAGAGAGAAAAACTAGAGAGAAAGGAAAGAAAAAAAAGAGAGAAAAACTAGAGAGGAAAGGAAAAAAGAAAAAAAATTGAGAGAAAGGAAAGAAAAAAAAGAAGAGAAAAAACTAGAGAGAAAGGAAAGAAAAAAAAAAGAGAGAAAAACTAGAGAGAAAGGAAGGAAAAATAAGAGAGAAAAAACTTGAGAGAAAGGAAGGAGAGAAAAATAGAGAGAGAAAAAAAAAAAGAGAAAAAACTAAAGAAAAAAAAGAGAGAAAAACTAGAGAGAGAGAAAAAATTCAAGGAGAAAGAAAAAATAAGAGAAAATTTGAAAAAAAAAGAGAGAAAAAACTAGAGAAAAAAAAACAAGAGAGAAAAACTAGAGAGAAAGGAGAGAAAAACAAGAGAGAAAAAAAAAAAAGAGAAAGGAAAGAAAAACAAGAGAGAAAAAAATAAGAGAGAAAAACTAGAAAAAAAAGAAGAGAAAAAACTAGAGAGAAAGGAAGGAAAAAAAAGAGAGAAAAACTAGAGAGAAAGGAGAAAAAAAAGAGAGAGAAAAAAACTGAGAGAAAGGAAAAAATGAAAAAAAGAGAGAAAAAACAAGAGAGAGAAAGGAAAGAAAACGAGAGAAAAAAATAGAGAAAAAGGAAAGAAAAACAAGAGAGAAAAAAAAAAAGAGAGAAAAACTGGAAAGGAAAAAAATAAGAGAAAAAACTAGAGAAAGAAGAGAAAAAACTTGAGAAGAGAAAAAACTAGAGAGAAAGGAAAGAAAAAACAGAGAGAAAAACTTGAGAGAAAGGAAGAAAAAAAGAGAAAAAAAAAAAAAAACTGAGAGAAAGGAGAGAAAAAAGAAAGAGAGAAAAACTAGAGAGAAAGGAAGAAAGGAAAAAATAAGAGAGAAAAACTTGAGAGAAAACTAAAGGAAAAACAAGAGAAAAAACTAGAGAGAAAGGAAAGAAAAAATAAGAGAAAAAACTTGAGAGAAAGGAGAGAAAAAATAAGAGAGAAAGGAAAGAAAATCAAGAGAGAAAAAATAAAAGAGAAAGGAGAGAAAACAAGAGAGAAAAAAGAGAGAGAGAAAAAACAAAGAAAAAATAAGAGAGAAAAAAAATAAGAGAAAGGAAAGAAAAAAAAAAGAGAAAAAACTTGAGAGAAAGGAGAAAAAAAAAAGAGAGAAAAACTAGAGAAAAAGGAAAAAAAAACAAAAAAGAGAAAAAAAAAGAGAGAAAAAACTTGAGAAAAAAAAAAAGAGAGAAAAAATAAGAGAGAAAAACTAGAGAGAAAGGAAAAAAAATAAGAAAAAAACTTGAGAAAAAAAAATTAGAGAGAAAGGAGAGAAAAAAAAGAGAGAAAAAAAAAAAAGAGAGAGAAAGGAAAGAAAAAATAAGAGAGAAAAACTAGAGAGAAAGGAAAGAAAAAATAAGAGAGAAAAACTTGAGAGAAAGGAAAGAAAAAATAAGAGAGAAAAACTAGAGAGAAAGGAAAGAAAAAACAAGAGAGAAAAAAACTAGAGAAAAAGGAGAAAAAAAAGAGAAGAGAAAAAAACTGAGAGAAAGGGAGAAAAAAAAAAGAGAAAAACTAGAGAAAAGGAGAGAAAAAAGAGAGAAAAACTAGAGAGAAAGGAAAGAAAAAACAAGAGAGAAAAACTTGAGAGAAAGGAAGTAAAAAATAAGAGAGAAAAACTTGAGAGAAAGGAGAGAAAAAACAAGAGAGAAAAACTAGAGGGAAAGGAAAGAAAAATAAGAGAAAAAAAAACTTGAGAGAAAGGAGAAAAAAGAGAGAAAAAAACTAGAGAGAAAAACTAGAGAGAAAAAGAAAAGAGAGAAAAACTAGAGAAAGGAGGAAAAAAAAAAAAAGAGAGAAAAACTTGAGAGAAAGGAGAGAAAAAAAAATAGAAAGGAAAAAAAAACAAGAGAGAAAAACTAGAGAGAAAAAAATAAGAGAGAAAAACAAGAGAGAAAAAAAAAGAGAGAAAGGAAAGAAAAAAAAAGAGAGAAAGGAAAGAAAAAAAAAGAGAGAAAAAAAACTAGAGAGAAAACTAGAGAAAAAAAAAAAATAAGAGAGAAAAACTTGAGAGAAAAAAACTAGAGAAAAAAAAAAGAGAGAAAACTAGAGAAAAGGAAAGAAAAAACAAGAGAGAAAAACTAGAGAGAAAGGAGAGAAAAAATAAGAGAGAAAAACTAGAGAGAAAGGAAAGAAAAAATAAGAGAAAAAGTAGAAAAACAAGAAAGAAAAAATAAGAGAGAATGTAGAAACCAAGAGAGAAAGGAGAGAAAAATAAGAGAGAATGTGGAAAAAACAAGAAAAGGAGAAAAAAGAGGGAATGGAGAGAAAAAAACAAGAGGGAAAGTGGAAATACAAGAGAGAAGGGAGAGAAAAATAAGAGAGAAAAGAAAGAAAAAGAAGAGAAAAAGCAAGAAAGAAAAGAGAGAAATAAAAAGAAAAGATAGTAAATAGAAAAAGAAAAAGTGAAAAGATAAAACTTTCAAGAGATTTTCAAAGAGATTTTTTTTTTACAGTAATAAGCATTGAAAATACAGCTGCATGATTCATATTTTTAGGACATCAACAGAAACTGGAAGATCTAGTCTTCTTTTTCAATTACTAGTTGATTAATGGCTGAGTAAATACGAAGCGGGCACTGAAAAGTTCATCCTGAGAACCAAATAGAGATTAAAAAAATATATAATTCTGATGCTTAGTCATGTGTTCAGATTTTGGGTAGTGTGCATGAGAATATTCAGCGCTCCCCCACTACTGAAGGTATTTCTTCAATGTTAACAGGTTACCTAGTAGTGCCAAGATAATCCATTATCAGGGAAAGCTTTAAGTCTACAAATCAACTCTTGTGTCTAATTGACCTCCATACTTGGGTAACGAATTGTCATTTTATCAAATGTATACAACAGTATGCTGCACAGGGAATAGCATTTTTATTTTCTTGTGACTTTCTTAAAAAGTCGGTAATACTTGTAACATTTATTTTTATATATTCTTATATATTTTGCATATTTTTATACATTTTTATGTTTTACTGCACTTAAGTCACATAGAAATAGCAAAAGATGTCAACCAAAAGAAAAACATTAGCAATTTTTAGAGAATAGCAATGATTTTTCCAGATATAAATTCTACTATTTAACCCATAGTTGAGGGGAAAGAGATAGATTCATATGTTTCCAAAGGTATTTGAGCATAAGAGAATGTAATGAATCCAACGAAAAATTTGAACTTAGCACTTTGATTTCTTATTCCAAGCTGCTATACATCATACCAACTTCACACCCTGTACGCCTGTAATGATCAAGCCATCCTCACATCCTGTACTCCTGTAATGATCAAGCCATCCTCACATCCTGTACTCCTGTAATGATCAAGCCATCCTCACATCCTGTACTCCTGTAATCATCGTCATCCTCACATCCTGTACTGCTGTAATCATCAAGCCATCCTCACATCCTGTACTCCTGTAATCATCAAGTCATCCTCACATCCTGTACTCCTGTATTCATCAAGTCATCCTCACATCCTGTACTCCTGTAATGATCAAGCCATCCTCACATCCTGTACTCCTGTAATCATCAAGTCATCCTCACATCCTGTACTCCTGTAATCATCAAGTCATCCTCACATCCTGTACTCCTGTATTCATCAAGTATATATATATATATGTATATATTTCCCTCTCTCTACATCTCTCTCAATTTTTCTATTTCCCTCTCTACATCTCTCTCTCTATATATATATATATATCTTTTTTCTCTCTATATATATATATCTCTATCTCTCTATATATCTCTCCCTCTCTCTACATCTCTCTCTCAATCTTTCTATCTCTCTCTATATATCTCTCTCCCTCTCTCTTGCAATCTTTTTATTTCTCTCTCTACATCTATCTATCTATCTATCTATCTATCTATCTATCTATCTCCCTCTCTCTACATCTCTCTCTATATTTCTCATTTTTCTCTCTCTATATATATCTCTCTCGCTCTCTCTACATCTCTCTCTCTCTCTTTCTCTCACTCTCTCTCTCTCTCTCTATATATATATATATATATATATATATATCCCTCTCTCTACATTTCTCTCTCAATCTTTCTATCTCTCTCTATACATCTCTCTATATATCTCTCTCCATATCTCTCTCAATCTTGGTAAGAGCAACAAATAGTAGGAAGTTGTGGAAAGCCATGACTGCTCATGTCGTAGACATAACCAACACTGATTTAATGTACATTCATACCATTTACAGTGTTTAACTGTTTACAATAAAAAAAAGTCGCTCTTCAATAGCAGAAATATATATGGTGATTGTCTAAGCATAGCATAGATGTGGCACAAGGCTGAAAGTATGGAGCATCCAGTGAGGATTGAACTCAATATTCAGTTGTAATTGTTCTAATGAGGCAAGCTTGATAACCATTACCCCATGTCAAGGTGCCCAAACACTAAGATGGATTCAAATCTTCACTTGAACTAAAGATTTCAAAAAATGGTGATGTTTTCTTAAAGACTAGAGGGTCCATATAGAGCGAGTACTTATTCCTTGTTTTTCTATGACTAAGCAAACAGGTCTTATATAGCACTCCTTTGATAGTTTTAAAAGTTAAAATTCATTTTAAAGGATAAAGAGAAATTTGAATTGCTTTTATTGTAATTGATATATATATATATATATATATATATATATATATATATATATATATATATATATATATATATATATATGCATGTTTCATTAAAAACGTGTATGTTCAGTGTGTGGTAGTGATGTTTTAATTTCGAATACGGTTAGCACATTATGGCTTTGTTCATAGTTAATATTGTTAAGAGTTGGCTTTTTTCTTTTTATTATTAGAGCTTCCATTATTTTTAGTCTTTTTTTGCAAGTGGATGCAGTTAATATATTTGTGTTTTCTACTAGTATGTTCCTAATGGTGTCGGGTAAATCTGAGTGTGTGTTTAAATGTGTTCTGATGGATCTGTGATCAGATAGGTGTAACGTAAGATGTTTGGATAAACATGTGGATGTGTAGCCGATGTAATTACACAGAACGCACACACTCTACTAAGCTGATAATCGAATCATCCTTGATAATGGCTAAAGGTATAGCCGAAAGCGCTTGGAAATACAAAACATTCGGACAGTTCTTACACACCCTTTGTCCAGAAAAGAAAGCTCTTGTCAGAACACAAGAAAAATTAAATAAAAAGCTCAACCATAGTACCTTGTCTGTCGTTTTAATGAAACATGCATAAAGGAAAGATTGCTGCCTAAATATACAACTATATATATATATATATATATATATATATATATATATATGTATATACAAAGAGAGGAAGACAAAGAATTTGAAGGAATCATAAAGAAACTTCAAGAGAATTAAAGACAATGACAGAGAAAGAGAGAAAGGGAGAGGTAGATTGATAGAAAGATAGAGAGAGAGAGAGATTGAGATGTAGAGAGAGAAAGATATATAGAGATGTAGACAGAAGAATATATATATATATAGAGAGAGAGAAATGTAGATAGAGATTTATATAGAGAGAGATATGGAGAGAGATGTAGACATTCATTTTGCCTCAAGAATACATGGCTGAATGGATAAAGGTGTTCGTTGAATCCAGCGACTTGACCCAAAGAATTGTGAGTTCAATACCTGGTCACAGCTGAGAAAGTTGAGTTAAAGGGAGATAACTGATACTCAGACATCCAGAAGAGGCATGGCACATGGAACTAGAACAATCTGTCCTTGTAGTCAAAGAAAATTTTAATCACCTGAAGAAGGCCAGAGTGTACAATATGGCAACAAAGATGAGGACAACAGTCCGAATAGTGTAAATAATTAATTTTACTGTATAAAAAACAGATATCTACTGAAACATGTACCCACTAAATATAATAAGAGAGAGAGAGGAAGACAGATGGATAGAGAGAGAGACACAGAGACAGAGACACAGAGAGGGGGAGAGAAAGGGGGAGGGATATAGAGAGAGTGAAAGAAATAGAAAGGGAGAAAAGGAACAGGAAGAGAGATAAAAGAGAAAAAGGGAGAGAGTGGGAGATAGAGATCGATATAGATAGAAAAAGAGAGGTAGAGAAAAGAAGGGATAGATATAGAGAGAAGGAGAGTGAGTGAGAGAGAGAAAAAGGGAGATAGATAGAGAAAGTGAAAGAGAGAGAAAAAGGGATAGAGAGAAAGGGATAGAGTGAGAGAAAGGGAGAGAGATAGAGTGAGAAAAAAGGAGAGATAGAGAAAGAGAGAGAGGATGAGAGGGAGGGGGAGGAAAAAGGAGAGATAGTTATAGAGAGAAGGAGAGTGTGTGAGAAAAAGGTAGAGAGATAGAGAGAGTGAAAGAGAGAGAAAGGGATAAAGGGAGATAGAGAAAGGGAGAGAAATAGAGCGAGAAAAAAGGAGATATAGAGAGAGAGAGAGGAAGGGAGTGAGAGAAAGGGAGAGATAGAGAGATAGATAGATAGATAGATAGAGAGAGAGAGATAGATAGATAGATAGATAGATAGAGAGAGAGAGAGAGAGAGACAGAGAGAGAGAGAGAGAAACACCCCAAATGTGAAAAACTTTAACTTGGTTAGCCCAAAATGTCAATTTAGTTGTACGAAATGAAAAAAAAAAAATACCGAGAAACAAAACAGTCATAAACTAGTTTGAGGCAAAGATTTGCGTCATTGAGAAATGTTACTCCCAAAGCAAACAAATCATTAATTGTCATTAAACAATGATAAATGACCATTGGATATATTTTTAAAAGTATAAAAGAGAGAGATAGACAACCAATAAAGAACAGGAGATGTGTGAAAGCCTTCTTTAAGGCCTTGCTATACACCAAACCTTTAAGCCTTAAGAGCCACTCAAGGTAGAGAGTTACTGAATGAGGTTTGTGATATGGCAATTTTCTAAACATAGCTTAGATAGGCATAAGGTCGAAAGTATGAGGCACCTAGTGAGGACCGAACTATTCTGTTGTAACTAATCTAACAAGAAAAACTTGCTAAACCATTGTACCACATCAAAGTGCCCCATGAGGTGTGTGATATGATTATAAGAGAAGGAAGTAAGAAATAAAGTTGACAAGGATACAGTAGATAGACAACGACTGACCCCAGATTTTGAATGACTGATTTGTTTTTTAAGGCTTATCAACCTTTTGCAGGTTATTTAAAGCCAGAAAAATATTTTTGGATTGTAAGAATATTTTGTAGATTATAATGATTTACTGATAAAAATTCTACTATTTAACCCATAGCTGGGGGAGAAGAAGTGGATTCATTTTTTTCCCAAGGCACGTAAGTGAATATAATGAATCTGAATGGAATTGAAACACAGATCTCTTGAGTTCCAATTTCGAGCCATTATCCATTACACCACCCACACATCCAAGCATACAGCACCTGATATTCCCATGTGGTCACATATCTAGGTACTGATTAATCTCGAGGTTGCCTAAGTTCACTTCACCATCTGGACATACTGTGTTGATTATCAGTCTCGGCTTATACGGACGGTGTGGATTTTTTTGCCCATTTCTCAAACTTAAAACATGCGTTGGTTGACTTATATTCAGATTGATCTATACATGAGTATATATAAATCTAATGAATGTCTCAAAAAATTTTAAACAAATACAATTTCAACAATCCAATCAGAGACTTCCCCACTTTTTTTTTTTTTTTATATATAACCTTGGAAAATCAGCTTGTCATAATTAATCTAGCAAGACAAACTTAGATTTGATTTGTTTTACAGCATACCAACCTCAATGGGTTATTTAATGCCAACAAAAGTTTTATTGATGGTAATATATTTTTTCCAAAAATGTATTGCAGGTAATATTCTTTTTTAAATGGATTGATGCTAATTTTTTTTCAAAAATGTATTTCTGGTAATATTTTTCTTTTTGAAAAATGTACTGCTGGTCATAATGGGAATAACTTTTTTTTTCAAAAATGTATTGCTGGTATTAAAACCTATTTTATACTTTCATAGTGTTTTGACCCCTTTTGGGGGTGTTAACTATTTGCCAGGCGCTATTATCACGGATCAGGGTGGACCTGGGAACACCAACAATTAAGAGGTGATTCCCTGCTCCTCAAACCCCTCCTGATCAAAGGCCTTGCTGTTGGATGTAGTTTATCGTCACACCCAGGACGGAGACAAACTTGTTAACCATCTTGGATGCATTTAAGTGAGAGATTTTTTTTATTCTAACAGCCAATAATCATTGAAATTATTCTGCTGCTGTACAAGGCCACACTGACTGAGGTTTCATCCCACTTTTGACAGTAATTAAATAGTAATGATGTTGGTTATTTGAATAATTAAATTATTAAATAGTAATGATGTTGGTTATTTGAATAGTCATATTATTAAATAATAATAATGAGGTTAATAATTTGATTATTTAAAATCAAATTATTAAATAGTAATCATGTTGGTTATTTGAATGATCAAATTATTAAATAGTACTTTTACAATAGATTCAACTAAAACTACAGGAAAATTTTACATAAATGTTTGTCCATGTTTGAATTTCCTCAGTACACAAGATATTGGTAGATACTAATCTAATATGTATATAAGAAGTCAAGACTTATTTTATAAAGTCCAGCATTATCAATGATACTGAAATAAGAGAAATTTAAGAAATGAAAGTCATATTGTTTATGATGATGATTACAAAAGTCATACCGTTTATGATGATGATGTTGATTTTGAAAAATAATGTTTTTTTTTTTAACATAGAAGAGTTTTAAAAAATATTTTAGAAATTTTGATTTTAATAACAGAATCAGAAAAATAAGAATGAATAGCTTATATTTCCCAGGAAGATAACAATACACCCCTGACCTCCAAAAAAACTCATTTCTCAGGGTAGTTTAAAAACAATACCAAAACCAGATTGAACTGGAATATCAGGATGTTTTATTTTGTATGTACATTTTTTAATATCATTATCACCAGAGGAAACAATTTCTACAAAGCAGTCTCTAGGATTATTTTTTTATTACAGATCAACCCAATCCAATGCAGAAGGAAATTTGCCAGTGGGGGTGGGTTTTAAAAGGAAAATGTGAGCTAAATACCAAGCTCAGACCACAGGCCAAACAATGCGGATGTTGTCCTATTTTACAGGCGTATTTCTGTTCTAGCTGAAATTATTTGGACAGTACAGTCATTAGGTTCTCTTTGGCTCGATGTAATTTTCTTACTTGTGAAGTTGAAAATATTCCTTTACTCAGATTTTATACTGGAAAAGTTTATAAAAAATCAGGTTTGTAAACGAAATAGAAGAAAGGTGTCAAATTGTTTTTTGAAATAAGAAAATATTTTTTGATTATGAAAAACACGAAGGATGAATGACTGTAGCCTAAAACATTAACAAAGTTCTTTATTCACCACTGTTTCCCTCTTGAAGGATTTGTATTGATTGAACACTGTACACAGTATATACTATGATATATATTTCTGTTTTGTGAGGCTGTATCATCTGTTTTTGAGCACTTTGAAACAATGTCAAGGAATCAATAATAATCAAGTAGGTTGCAGTCTGGGGATTTAGGTGGCCGGTTGTAAGGTGTGATGTAGTCGCAAAAATTGTCTGGCAGCCATAACTGAATTCTCCTGCTTGTGTGGCATGGGGCAGAGTCCTGTTGCCAGACATAGGATCTTCCAGCAGCCACACTCTTGACCCAGGGAAGCACTACCTCCTCAAGGAACTTGATGCAGGCCTCTGTATTGAGTCTGAAGCTCTCACCAACAAATTTGGGAGTTCTTTGCTTATCAGAATGATCAGAGTGAGTTTTCAGAGCTGCTGTACCTTCGTAATCACCATAAGACTCATCTGACTATTTCTAAATCCTCTGCATTGTCCTCAGATTGACACCAAAACTCTCTGAAAGGTTTGTGTTGGAGCTTCTGGTGCAAATGCCAAGCAGTACAGCATGCCACTTCCAAATTTCAGGTGCTGTGAATTGTGTCATGGTGTTCGTTTACTCATAGATGGTGCTCAACTGACTCTACTATACTGTGTAGTCAACAAAATCAAAAACAGACAATGCACTTGTACAAAATTAGAATATAAAAAGGTGATAATTCAACCATCTCACACTGCATGTGTGTGGATGTTTGGGTAGCATAATGGTTAGTGATTTGGAAAGAGAAATTAACAAGTTCAAATTCCAGCCAAGCATGTTATATTAACTTTTGCATGAAAAGCTTTGGGAAAGTAGTAGGGCAGATTGGGCTCTCTAGTCTTGAATGACAACCACTCTAGGAGAAAGACAACTCTGAATTAAGAATTAGCCTGATGTGGGTGAAGCTCTATTTGGCTACCTTGCCCCAGACACACCTACTGCTGCTACAGATGCAGTATATGTGGTGCACCAACTGCACAAATGGCTTGCAGATTTGTGTGGTGTGATTAAATTGAAACCAATGAAAATCTCATCTTTGTTTGTAGTGTTAGGGTTAGTGTTATATATTTAAGTAAATGCTCTGTTTTATAATAAACAGTATTACTAACATTTACCGGCCTGAATGTCCGAGAAATTTTCAAAGAAAATATTTGTCCTCCAACAGGAATCAAACCTGTATCCTATATGGAATCATCATTTAGCCTGACGTGCCTTAACCGATCAAGCCATGGAGGATCATTTGATCAGCAAGGTCGATTTTACTGCTTTTAAACTTCAATCTTCCATTAATCTCATGAAGCAGTAAAATCAACCTTGCTAATCGAACGATCCTCTATGGCTTGATCGGTTAAGGCATGTCAGGCTAAATGACGGTTCCATATAGGATACAGGTTTGATTCCTGTCAGAGGACGAATATTTTCTATGAAAATTTCTCAGACATTCAGGCCGGTAAATGTTGTTTAATACTGTTTATTATTAAACACAGCATTTACTTAAATATTTCTATCTATAAAAAGAATGTATAAACATAAAAATGTCCATTTCATATATATATATATATATATATATATATATATTATAAATTAATTGATTTAAAATATGTTTTTTTTTGCTACATAGTTCTAACCATGTTTCAAAAATGGAAACCTGGTTAGAAATGTGTAGCGAAAAAAAACATATTTTAAATCAATTAATTTATAATATTAATGCTCTGTAAATTTACATTGACCACTATTTTGTAAAAATAAAAATATCTATAAGAACACCGGATTATATATCTTACTGTTCTTTCTTTTTATTTATATATACATATATATATATATATATATATATATATATATATAGAGAGAGAGAGAGAGAGGGACAGAGAAAAGTGAGATAAGGATAGAGAGAGAGAGAAAGAGGAAGAGAGACAGAGATAGAGAGAGAGAGAGAGATCTGCAGCCTCATGATTACTAATGTTTATTTTACACAATGTACTTAATCCAGTGGTGAATATTACTCTTATAGTATAATATTATGCAAAATCAATGAGTTGAAGTCTTATTGGGAAAAATGGTGGCTATATTAAGATGTAAATACTTCAAAGACTCATCATATATGTTTGTTATTTGTTCTGTTACACACGTTGGTCAACTGTTGATTTTATTACTTTGTTATTGAAGTAAAAAGTGATTTTGTGGTTTTTGCAGACTTTAATAAAACAAGTTGAAACTAGATAAAAA